GATAGGTTAATTTGAAAAAGAAATAAAACAATAACTAGAAATAAAAATATAGTTATTGAAATTAAAATCCCAGTGGACAAAAAATGGAAATATTTACAACATGCAAAAATTTCAAGAAACTAGAGAAAGAATACCATATTGAACCCAAAGAAATAGAATGTAGAAATAATGAAGTGCAGAAATGATGAGTTAGAAGACAATGGAGCCAACTAACAAAAGACTGTACTTTTATTTTTTTAAAGATTTTATTTATTTATTTGACAGAGAGAGACACAGCGAGAGAAGGAACACAAGCAGCAGGGGTGGGAGAGGGAGAAGCAGGCTTCCTGCCAACCAGGGAGCCCGATGCGGGGCTCGATCCCAGGACCCCGGGATCATGACCTGAGCCGAAGGCAGACACTTCACAACTGAGCCACCCAGGCGCCCCAAAAGCCTGTACTTTGAAAAGACTGATATAACTGACAGTTTTATAAGTATCATCAATTAACAAAAGAAACAGAAGTAAGTGATATTAGTTAAATAATATTGTACAAAATATAGGCGTAGAAGGAATTTAAAAATTATGAGAGAGCACCATAAATATCATTACCAAATGGTGAACAAGGTATGTTTTTGCAAAAAATACATTTCATCTAATAAACTCAGAAAAAATAATAGAAATACAAAATTAACATTGTGTAACAATTAACGGATAAATATGCTAATCTTTAAAGATTGCAAACATGAACACAAAGGAAGTCAGACATTAGGTTCCTTGTGATAAAAATTCACAATATCACCTATGGGAAGTTTTTCCAAACAAAAAAAGAAAGAGTAAAAAATTACACCTTAATCTGATGAAACTTCTGCTGATTTAAAGAAATACAGAGGGAGAAGGACACCAGTGATGCAATCAGCAAAACCCATGCCATATGAAACTGGATAAAACACGAGGTTTTTTTTCAACAAAAAAATGACAAGGAAAATAAGTAATATATGTATGTGGGAGGTGTAGGATCTATAAATTAATGGGCATAAAGAGCAATGACATGAATAGACTTTATTTGACCCTGATTCAAGAAAAAACATTTTTAAAAAGTCAGGCAAATGTGAAAAATAACTGGACATTTGATGATATTAATTTTTTAAGGTAGGATATGTATAATTGAATATTTATGTTTCATAAAGGATACCTATCTTTTAGAAATAGATACTTAAATATTTAAAGATGAAATGGCATGATATCTAGGATTTATTTCTCATTATTTCAGTGGCAGAGATGGGGTAGATATGGGTAGAAATGTAACCAGGCAGGCCGTGTGTTGATGATTGCTGATGCTGATGTGAAATATATTGGTTTTATTATACTATTCTCTCTACTGTTGTATATGTTTGAAATTTTCTACAATAAATATAATACATATGTAGCCATTAAAATAAAACCCTAAGTGATAATAGACCATTATTTAGAAAAAATATTAATTACTCAATAAGTTCAAGCAGAAATAGAAAACTGTTACTGAGAAATACAAAACTATCCTCAAGGTTTCAGTCACGTTTAAGTTTCAAGACAAGGCAGTCAGGGCCAGTTCTACCAAATAACAAGCAAAAAATTAACCACCATTTCATGTAAACACATCAAAAGCATACAAAAAGATGGGCAATTTTTCAGCTTATTTTCCCAGTCTAGCTCTCCTTGATAAGAAAATCAGCTGAGGACCCTTTGAAAACAGAACACTTAAGCCAAGCTCACCCACTTACAGGCAAAGATCCTAAATAAAGTCATAGAAGTTTCAATATAGCAGTGAATTAAATGGAAAAAAGATGCTGAACCCAAGAAATATAACAATATAACATTAGAAAAAACTGCCCAAAATACTACATTAACAGATAAGATTTAAAAGGCATTTGATCATCTACTGAAGTAAAGAAAAAACTTTTTTCCCCCCAAATTTTATTTATTTATTTGACAGCGAGAGACAGCGAGAGAGGAAACACAAGCAAGGGGAGGGGAGAAGCAGCCCCCCCCCCAGCAGGGAGTCCGATGCAGGGCTCGATCCCAGGGCTCGATCCCAGGGCCCTGGGATCATGACCTGAGCCGAAGGCACTTAACGACTGAGCCACTCAGGCGCCCCAAGAAAAAACTTTTGAAAAAAAAAGTCAACGTGCATGCAGGGTAATATTGTTTAGCTAACTAACATTAGAAGGGAACTTCCATTTCCTAAAATCTATAGCAAACAAACTTAAATGTGAAATGTTAGTAGCATTCCCATTAATGTAAGGAGCAAGACACAGCAGTATGTTACCAACTCTAACTGTTCAAAACCGGATCAGAATGCATAGCCAGAGGATAAGAATACAAAAATAAATAAAAGTTAGGAATAGTAAAAAGAAATAGAAATTATTGGTTGCAAATATGATCATCATTTGGAAAATCCCAAGGAAAAGGCTACGGATTATTTAAGTAAACAAATGACTTCAGAAAAGTGGCATATAAATAACTATAGTAATATCAAGAGCCTTGTTGTACAAAGCAGTAATTATCAGAACATGTATTATAAATGAGAATCAAAATTAAAATGAATTTTACTACACTTTTCAATGTTAGATAAGATCGAAACACCTGGGTCTCACAAAGTTATGCAGATCTGCCTCTCTCCTGTAGCAAGTAGATCTTTTCGAACAGAAAGTTCCCAAAAGTCTGACTAGTGAAGAGATCCTATCATCACTATGCATTTTCTCCGACATCTCAGAACCTGTCCTAGTCCCCCCTACCTTGTATGGCAGCCTCTCGATCTCACACCCTGGCTGGAATGCAGACCTACCTTCCGCAAGGGTTTAAGCTGACAAACTGTCCAGAGTTTAGGAAGAGGAGGTGATATTTCCCAAGGAGCCTTTAATCAATGAACCAGGAGCCAAAATGAGGACCTACTTCGCGAAAAGACCTTTGGTACTACTCACACTATAACAGAGGGGGCACCACAGAGTCACGCTCCTTATCGCCCCATCCGGGGGGGCCCCCAGGAGTAGCCGGATGTATGCACACTGACTTCCGTCCCTGCTCCGTGGGAGGTGAGCTCTTGCAGCGAGAAGGGCCGCATCGGCGCAGCGGAGGGAGGAATCCACGCTCTGCCCCAGGTGAGATAAGGATATTGAGTAAGGTTTGAGGGAATCCCCCTATCTCGAAAGACCTAAGACCATGAGGGAATCCCCCTATTTCGAAAGAGGTAAGACCCCACAGTCCTGCCCTTGCTGTCAGCTCTAGAAGGTTCCAGGCAGGGATCACCCGATGCAGTGCTCTCTGAATTCTCGTTCTGAGCACTCGGAGAAATAATAACATTGGACCCAGGGTGTTGATATCGGAGGAGTCAGTGAAGGACCTTGTGTGAATTCGTTGGAACTGCCCCTCCCCCATAACAGAGGCGTCCCCACAGAGCCGGGCCCCTGCCGCCAGCCGTGGGAGACCCCAAGGGGTGAGGATGTTTGACTCGCGTATCTGTTTCAGGCTATCAGAGGAAGGAGGCTCTGCCACGAGTTGACGAACACCCCTATTCATGTTCTAGGAGAAACCGCCTCCCTAGAACACTGGAGGCCCTAAAGAGCCCCACCCCTGCTATAAGCCCTGGTGGATCCTTAGCAGGGCTGTGAGACCAAGATGTCTCTAACTTTATCCTCAGTGGTCCCAGGGAGACGAGCCCTATTAGAAGGAGATGACTCAAGCCGTTCTAGAGGTCAAAGTGAGAACAGAGGCAGGGAGGATACAGAGTTAGGACTTTCCTCTTTAATCAGCCCTGGAAAACCCTAGGGAGATCTGCATTCTGAGGTCTCCCCCCCCCCCCCCCCCCCCCCCCCCCCCCCCCCCCCCCCCCCCCCCCCCCCCCCCCCCCCCCCACCTTCACTGCATATGCCAGGATATCAGGTGATTGAGAGCCTTGGTGTGATTGTTATAGCCTTCAGGTCTGCAGAAGGGGGATTCCTGGCAGTCAAGGGGAGGAGCCATGGTAAGGAACCTGAGCACTGAGCAGACCAGTCATCACAGAACAGAGGCTGTGTCACAGAGCCCTCCATGTGATGTCATCCCTCAAAGGGGTCACTGGGGAAGATATGTTAAACTGAGTCCTCCCTAAACTCTTCCTCAAACCTTTCAAAAATGTGAGATTCTTTTTTTTTTAAAGATTTTATTTATTTGAGAGAGAATGAGAGAGAGAGCAAATGAGAGGGGGTAAGGTCAGAGGGAGAAGCAGACTCCGTGCTGAGCAGGGAGCCGGATGCGGGACTCGATCCCAGGACTCCAGGATCATGACCTGAGCCGAAGGCAGTCGCTTAACCAACTGAGCCACACAGGCGCTCCCAAAAATGTGAGATTCTTTCTATGAGGGGATAGGTCTAAGGTAAGCCAAGAGAGGACTCCTAGGCCCTGCAAGAGGCCAGGTGAGGACTCTAAGTAAGGAGTGAGAACCCTAATTATCCCAGGATGGGGAGGGTCCCACACAGCTTTGCCATTGCTGTCATCTCAGGGTACCCTTGGGCACATGTGCTTAGATGTGATTCCCCTTCAGTTCCTCCTCCAGGATGTCAGGGAGTTGAGGGCTTTGAAATGAGGGGTCAACATCAAATCAGTTAAGCAGAGGACCTCAGGTCCTTCAAGAAGTCAAGGTAATGGTGCTGAATGTGAACGGAAACACCCCCTACTCCACAACAGGGGAGGCACCATAGAGCCTGGATCTGCCAAACCCTATATCAGCTCCAGTAGGACTCAGGTAGGGGTGGGAAGCTTCAGCCCAAGGTGAACACTAGTTACTTCCAGAGTCCTCAGGGGAAAGGCTAACCCATGAAGGGGAGCCTTGTGGGATCCTAGAGCAGTGCCCTCAAGGAAACCTGGAGAGATGGCTGTTGATAAACCCCAAGATGGTATCTCCCTGCCAGAGGATATCACACCATTTCATCCTCTTTCCTCCAGGTTACTGAATCATCTATTGTCTTTTCCACACTCGTGCCTGCTCTCCCTGACCAGAATCATCATGCCTCGGGGCCAGAAGAGTAAGCTTCGTGCCCGTGAAAAACGCCGCCAGGCTCGAGAAGAGCCAGGGCATCTGGCAGCTGCTCAAGCCAGTGTACCAGAGGAGAAAGAGTCCCCCTCTTCTCCTTCTCCTCAATTCAAAGATGCTCCCCAGAGCTCACCTGCCACTGGAACACCCAGCAATCCTCAAGTTACTGGGAGAGTCTGCTCCACCAGCACTACTGCTGCAACTGCTTCAAACGCAAGATTTAATGAAGGTGCCAACAATCAAATGGAGGAGAAGCCAAATGCCTCACAGGCGAGGGGTACCACTGAGCACTGGAATAGAGGTCCTATAGATAAGAAGGTTGCTATGTTGGTATACTACCTGCTGTACAAGTATCAAATGAAAGAGCCCATTACCAAGGCAGATATGCTGAAAAATGTAATCCAGATTTATAAGAATCACTTCCACGAGATCCTCCGGAAAGCCTCTGAGCACTTGGAGCTGGTTTTTGGCCTTGACGTGAAGGAAGTGGATCCCAACAGGAACATCTATGTTCTTGTCAACAAATTGGAATCCAGCTATGATGAGAGAGTAAATGATAATGGAGGTGTGCCCAAGACTGGCCTGTTGATGACCGTCCTGGGCGTGATCCTCACAAAGGGCAACTGTGCCACTGAGGAGCAAGTCTGGGAAGTGCTAAATATGATGGGGTTATATGATGGAATGAAGAATTTCATCTATGGGGAGCCCAGGAAGCTCATCACCAAAGATTGGGTGAAAGAAGAATACCTGCAGTACCGGCAGATAGCCAACAGTGATCCTCCACGCTATGAGTTCCTGTGGGGTCCCAGAGCCCATGCTGAGACCAGCAAGATGAAAGTCCTAGAGTTTGTGGCCAAGATCCATGATACCGTCCCCAGTGCCTTCCCATGCTGGTATGAAGAGGCTCTGAGAGATGAGGAAGAGCGAGCCCGAGCCAAGGTTGTAGCCAAGGCTTCTACTGCTGCTATGGCCAGTGCACGCTCCAGGGCCATGGCTAGCAGCTTCTCCTGCCCCAAGTGAAGTTTGAGGAAGGTTATTATGTGTGTTTGAAGAGAACAGCTAATGTTCTCATTAGTGAAAGGTCAGGGTGGGGCTGGAGACAAGAGAGTACATAACACGTTTGTGTTCCTATTTTAGGTAGTAACCTGGATATTTGTCTAAATGTTTTTTTGTTTTATTTTGTTTTTTTGAGAGAGAGAGGGTGAGCATGGTGGGGGGAGGAAGAGGAGAGAGAGAAACTTAAGCAGGCTCCACGCCCAGCGCAGAGCCCCACATGACTCTGAGATCATGCCTGAGCCAAAATCAAGAGTTGGACATTTAACCGACTGAGCCACCCAGGCACCTCAGTGTTGTTCCTTTTAATAGAAGGTTTAACTAGCTTCAGAATCTTTTGTGAATGATGTAAATCACACATTATTGATGTTTATGAGTTTTAACAGTAAGAGTTTTATTATTTTATAGAACAAATTGGGACATTTTCCATTTTATTGAGTTACTTAGAATAAGATAATGTAGTAATGGATTTGGCACTTCCTTGCAAATATGAGAGAACTCGGCAGTAAAATGCTGGGATCAAGAAACAGAGAAAAAAGTAAAAGATATCTTTTTGCATTCCTTTATCACTATTTGGTCTGTTCTGTAAAATTAAGAGAGATATATACTTAGTTGTGCTTAGTTTATTCAAGAATGTAGAATTAATTATAGCATAATAAATTAGACCTCTTGCACACTGTCTCATTTATTTCGCAGACATTCCTTCAGCATCTGCTCTTTGGGAGGCTTCCTGCTAGTACTGGTAGTGTCAGGATAAACAAGACCCACCCACTGTGCCCATAGAATTTTAGAGTGTAGAAACAGCTGTCAAGTAGGAAAGAGGATGGGATACACCCTAAGACCTAAGAACAAGTCAAAAGAAGGAGAGGACTTGGGAGGATCCAGATGTGAGAAGTCAAGTATAAGTGCCCTGAGGCCAGTGAGTCTGAGGCCTTGGGAAACTGCAAGTCGTTTGGTGTGAGTCAGTTTTACCTGAAGCTGGGTGGTGGATCAGAT